GAGAGTCGAGACAAAACATATAATATAATCTACTCTACATTTTATGTCTTAAAAAAATTAAACATCTTTCGATTTGTTTTTATTTAATTCATTTATTTTTGAGTTAGTTCTTTTACTTATTTAATCTGCTAATAATAAAAATGGAAAATGACTTGCGAGGGTAATTACATTTTCCTCTTGTTCACGTTTAGGTAACTTCACTTTTTTGCACACATTGGATCATTTAACTTATTAAATGTGTTCACATATAACCAATGTCACCTGCTTTAGGAGGTGACAATGGTCATATTTGAACATATTTAACAAGTTAAATGGTCAAATGTGTAAAAAAAAGAAAATTATTTAAATGTGAACAATTTTGTTTTTACAATTTCTTAAAAAAAATTATAATTTCTTACAATTTTTATGATATATATATTTTTTTCTTATAGGTTTTTCTAATACAATGTTTTAAATCTTTGTTTATAATTTATTTTTAACTTTTTTTTTTTAATTCTTTCATATAATTTTAATACACGTGCTTGTAAACCAAATATTTCATAAATGTTTAAAATTTTCTTACAAATATTTAACTTCTTACAAGTATTTAACTTTTTTTCATATACATAATTTCATACAATTTTATTCATAACGTTCACATATTTATTTCTAAACTTTCTTTTATAACATTTTTAAAGTGTTTTACAGATTTTGTATAATAATTTAATATTTTCTTATAACATTTTAAAATACTTTCGTTAAATAATAGTTTAAAACGTTGTATTAAAAAAATTAAAACTTTATAACTTCTTATTAAAAGGTATTAAAAATTTAAATAATTTTAAAACTTTTACATTATATAATTTTTTTTTTTATTTGCTAAGTAATAGTGTTACATATTTAATTTATTTAATTTTATTGTTAGATACTATTTACTTTAAAAATATTGGATATGCTTAAAAACAAAAGAAAACAATTAAAAGAGACTATAAAATATTTCACAAAACAAAAACGTATTTATCAATTAAATAATAAAGTTTAAAACTGATCAATATTTAATTAATATTTTAGAAATTATGAATATTTTAAAAATAACGTTTAAGAAAAATAATCCAAACAAATATGAAAAATAAAACCACTTTTAAAAGTGGTGAAAATAATTTATCAAGGTAATTAATTTTTCGTTTTATTCAGATTTAAACAACTTTGTTTTTTCGTACACAGTTAACTTGTTAATTTGTTCACATATTATTATTATCACATGCTATAACCGGTGACAATGACAATATGTGAATACACATAACCAGTTAAATGGTCAAATATATAAAACCTAAAAGTAAACAAAATGATAAAAATAATTACATAGTAAGTCATTTTCCCATAATAAAACGTCAAACATGACAAACATAACCAAATATATCACTAACGATATGTTACCACTTGAAAATAGAAATCCGATATAACTTAGTCTCAAGAATCGTTTTTGGCTCCAAATATATATACAAAACAAAAGGTATTCCACTATTCCGTATTTGGGATTACAAAATAAATAAAAAGTGACACAACAGCTCCCTATACTATTTACTAATTACAACAAACACCCACCATCGCATGCATCAACATTTTTGGCCCTTGGACAGATCCAAGCTTCTTAAACTTGTACCATATGTAGTGTATGTTGTACCTTTGTCACTTTCAAAACCTAGGCTCATCCGGTTTAAACAATTGAGGCATTTTAAGACTCGTAGACGAATCAACAGAAGAAACTTTATGATGACCGATTCCTTTTCTTGTATTCGTAGCAAACCTCGACGCCAAAACAGTCGCCCCAACACCAAACTGTTGTTCACTGCTACTGCCCGGAGTACCATCGTTACCCGACTCCTCATAATAAAACCCTTCCATCAACTCCTGAAGAGCCAATTCCTTTGCGAGCTTTCTTCTTTTATATTTGCGCCATGCTGCTTGAATTAAAGCCGCGCCCCATGTTCGCCATTGATGGGAATAATACCGGAACGCGTGTTGGAGTTTTTTACTATGTAGGTATTTGAATTGATTCGCGACGAATTTTAAATCTTCAGCGCGTAACGCAAAGCCTTCGACTTCGGTTAGGGTTCGGACGGATCTTGTGGAGGAAGGGTAGCTTGTGGCATTAGGGAGTAGGGCCCACGTGAGTAGCTCTTCGCCACAAAAGTCACCGGGTCGAAGGGTGATTGAATTGAAGAATCCAGATCTTCCGCCGTCTGTTGTTGAGGATTCTAGTTGTCCGCGAATTATGAACAACATCTCGTTTACCGGATCATCTTCACGAACAATGTATGTGCCCTGCGTGCTTAGGGATGACACCAGGCGTTCGCAGATCGCATCCAAAAGGTTGTCGTCCATTTGTGAGAAGAATGGGACCTACATCCACCAAGTATCATTAAAGCATCCGAAATAATAAAAAGAATTTGACACATCATCCTTATCTCAAAAACACAAATAATATATCTTATATCCAGTATCCACTATACTATAATAAATCTTTTTCAAATCGGTATTCTGTAATATATATATATATATATATATATATATATATAATATATATATATATATATATATATATATATATAATATTCTTATAGTAGAAAATAAAATTTATATTAAATAAATTTGAACTTGGAGTTACATAACAATAAAATCATAAGTATTATTTAATTTAAATATTTATAACTGTTAATACTAAAATTTGTATATTTGTCAACATTAGTAGCTTTTTATATTTTTTTATAACTAAAAAAAACTAGTTTTGTAAGTTTTAGAATATCTAATGTACTTATTCTACATTATATTAAATGAAAGAATGATCTTTTTGTAATTAATAAAGTATAAGAATAAAAGATAAAAATAATTATGAAACAAGTCAAAAACGTACTCGTCGAACAAGGTTAAGGCAGAGATGGCGTTGGATTTCACGGCGGAGATCGATGGGTAACGACTGGAGAATATATTCTTCATCGACGCCTCTCGTCGCCAGCCATTTATACTGAACAAATCGCCGGATTCTGTCTGCTAATTCCTCCGGTAACTGACGGTGTCTCATCCACTCCTCCGTGTCTCTTCTTTTAATCCTCCACTCTTCCAGTCTTAACGTCATCGATTGCAAATACGTCTTCATTTCAATACAAACATCATATCTTTTATCAATCAAAAACATTTTTTACAAATAACTGATTAAATCATGTAACTTAAATGCCTAATTAATTAAATATATATACCTGCATGTTTCCTATCAATTGTGCGAATAGAATCAAGCCTCCGATACATATGAAGATGCAGAACAACGTCTCTCCTATATAGATGCTCGTGTCCAGATTCTGTCCATATGAACTGTGTAAAAAGAAGAAGAAATTGAAATCGGAATCGGAAGTAATTAATCTATTCATTTTCATATTAATTCATACCTCAAATTTCTCAAACCCCACCAAAGGCAATATAAATACTTCTCGAAGAACTTAGAAGAAGCAACTTCGCTTGTGAAAGCATCTGCAAACATTCCGAATTTAAAAGGAGAAGATTCATTGCTAGCATCACATAGAGTTCTCAAGCTTGTGGATTCAAGCCATTTCTTGCGATCTGGATTATCAATGCTTTTACAATCCAAAAAACTCATACAAACTTTTTCAGCCATCTCCTCTTTACATCCTTGTTGCCAACATGAATGTTGTCTCCCTATAGACATCGAATACCATGTAGCCCCAAGGACCTGAGTCAGATTCAACAGAGATGAGATTCAATGTCTGAATCAATTAAGAACCCTAGAAAAATTGGGTGAAAAAGATTGATGCGTAAGTACATGACTAGCTAGCATGTAAAGTAGAAGATTGTAAGCAGCTCCTGCCCAAGCTGTCTTAGCTACAAACCCTGTAGATTTTATAATCCGCTGATTTAGTGGAAAAATCACAAACAATCGAGGGATGTACTGAATCAGAACGATGAGTGATAGTGTATTGTTAGCATGATCTTTGGTGTTCTTATTTGTTGCTGGTATGATCAGCTTGTGAACTATCTGCAACACAAAACAACTTCCAATCACTTTACAATTCTGCATAACAGATCGAGCTATGAATTGATTCGGTAACGATCAACGAAATCCCCAATTTTCTATAGAAGAATCAACGAAAACATAAAACTTAAGATTTGAAATTGGAGATGTTGATAACGAATTAGAAACTAGCCTGGGGTAATGGAAGCATAGCAGCGACATCAATTACGAAATCAGACTTCAAATATCGCCGAGCAATCTGACGCTTGTCCATAACGAGTTCGCCTCTGCCGAAAACCTTAGAGCTTGGAGCAATAAACGCAGTGCGAAACTTCATGACGATGTGAACGACGAAGAAAATATCTGCAAATGAACGCCAGGTATTGATGGCGATCGCGGCGGCGTGATCTTTGGTCATGCAGGTGTCTCCGCCGACGTATGGAAGGTAGAAATAAAGGGGATCGATGAAGAGAGAGACGAGGCACACCACGAGGAAAAATTGGTACCATCGAGTCACAGCTTCTCCGTTTGGATCGAGGATCTGGTAATGCCAAAACGTCGCGCTGTTAGCTTTATCTGTGGCGATTGTATTCGACGTCGGCCGCGTAAATTGTTGGCGGAGACGGGTGGCAGGCGTTGTCAGCACCCGATTCATCATCCCTCACGGCGGTGACAAGGCCCGTTAGGGTTCCGATTATGGTGGTTGAAATTTCAGCGGGTGACGATAAATTACGCGCGAAAAAAATATGGTGTATGGCGATGAACTTCTGATAACAGAAACCAAAAGTAAAACTTACATAAATTATACTTGGATTGTTTGTGATCAGCAAGATTAGTCCTTGAAGTTTGTTCTTCTTGTATGTGTTCTTCTAACTGAGATTTGTTTTTCATTTTAGCCCTCTCTTCTATTTTCATATGTAAAAATATGTTAGTTTATTACCTAAACTAGGTGTAAGACCAATCTATTATATGGGTTAATTAAAAATAAATAATTATAAAGATCTAAATATTTAAGAACTTTGAATTTATAAGAAAATAAAAAAATAATAAATTATTACAATTGATATTTTTATCTTTTAAATTCAAATAAATAAACAAAATAAATTAATAAGGTTTAATTTGATTATTTTGAAATAATAAGTTAAGTCCATTAATGAAATTGATATTCATTTATTACTACATTTATTGTAATTATTACATTAAATTATAATGTGGAATTTATTAAAATAGAAAAAACCCATAAAATGACATGTGGAAAAGAAATTAATTCAAAATAACCACAAAATGACATTTGGCAAAATGGATGAGAGTGTGACATGTAGTAAAAAAAACTTCATTTATTAGAGTAGAAGAGATTTAGCAACATAAACTTATGCACGAGGTTGAAAGTCCAAGTCTAGTCAAAGATATATGTAGAATTAAAGTGTAATTTAAAAATATATTATAAGTATGATGAAAATACGATGAAAATATGATTCTTAGTGTAGATCCTTAATAATAAAGAAGATAATGGGGATGAAAAATTGGGTTAATTGTTTGATGATTAAACATAATAATTATATTATTGTGGGTTGAAAACCCTATGTACCCAGCATGTTTTCTCATCCTGACCCACTTAGGTTTATTGTATCATAAGTGGCTATATGAAATATACATTATGCTGAGAGATTCAAGGAGTATTAGGCCGCTAGTTTAATTACTGTAATGTTTGTAATACTTCGTTATGCTTATGTTTATGTATTGATGATGACATCCTAATGTTTTAAATGAAAATAAAATTTCTTCGGAAATGCTTTAATAACATATTTATAATGTTTTCTGGGAACAAATTATGCAATACTATTTTTCAAAAGGGATACTCTGATTTTTAAATAAGCATAAACAAATCGGTCTTTTCTGGCCGTGAAATTAGGGATGTCACACCCAGAGCCCAAACCAACAGTCTTAGAACGAGGGAGAGGGGGGGGGGGACCCAAGGAAAGGGCCAAGTGATCAAACTCCTAACATATAATCATGCCCCAACAAGGCAGCCCGGGAACTAGGCCTCGAATAACATCAACTATCACACCCCTAATACCTATTTAATGATGTACATGTCTCTAAGACACTAGAAAATATGCAATGAAAAGCTATGATTTGAAACACACACGTATTAACATGCATTCATACAAATGGAAAACAAAGACGAACTGATCATCCGTGCCACTTACATGAAACCATTCCAGAAAACACAATCATAGGCCTCACAGGCTCGCAACCTTTCCCTAATAAAATCCCACTCTGGCTAAGGACAGTGAGAATTAGGATGAGGGATAGCTAGAGGTTATGAAGGATCATAACCTTCGCCTCGCAACAAAACAATATCTAAGCGTCGAAGCCCCAGGATAACAATCTTGACATGTCTTAGATAATCAAACTCAGAGACAGGGGCTCCAGGAGCCCAAAACTCCGAATAAAAGTCTAAATGGAAAAGGAGGGGAAGAGAAATAAAGGGCAGTAACCAAAACGGCTAACCCTCGCTTAACAGAGAAAATTGTCTGCTAATCTCTCACCTAATACAAACTTAAACAGGAATAGCAACACATAATAGCATTCTTGGGACTGACTAGGGTCTAGGAAAAAACTCAGCCCCGGGGTGGCCAAAATAACCCATCCTCCTCCTCCCCCCCCCCCCCCCCCCAAGAATCAAGCCGAATAAACCACAAGCAAAGTACAAAGCTATGTTTTTTCAGAAAATAAAACAAATTGTCCACCGAACAAACATTGTCAAAGATGTTCACCGAATAAAAACCATTAAAAAGAAAACATTGTTTGAGTTTCACCAACCAAAGGCAATCCACACATAATAAGGGAGATAACAGAAATTACATATCGGGGGCAGGAGGAAGGTCCGGTCCCGAAAGTACTTCCTTCAGGACATTCTCCTTCAACATCATAGTTACTGCACAACAGACGAAGACCTTCCATGTCGAGCTCGCCAAGGTGGAGGTAGGAGGCAAGATCCGTCTCCAATAAAGATTTCACCTCAACGTGCATGTCTTAGATATATTCTAGAATGGCGCTCGTCTCGCCAGGTGTAAACTTACTGGCAACAACCTCATCACTTGTCCTTCATCCACAAGGTGGAACCATCATGGAGCACAGACACATAAGCTAAATACTGAACCCTCCAACTAATGCCTTTGACATACAGATTCCTTAACACCCCCTCCCCCTCCGTTCTGGATACAGACTTTGTATGGACCTACTTTCGATTCCTAACACGAGTTTCCACCAAAAGCCTGCTCGAAAATGGCTACCCATGATACCTCCTCACGAAACCTTCCCTAAAACTGATGAATATCCATTTGAATCCACCCTAACCCCTAACTAGGAACTACCAGAAACACACAGAGTGATCCTCAAAACATATCGACCTCAAACTTTAAACAAAACCATACCATATGATAAACCAAAACCTTAACAATTCTTGGCTCTCTGCTATGCCATTACCATCCACTGCTTTACCAATAGAAGATGATTAAAAAAGAATTTACGCGATACTTCCAACCACTTATAGGCTCATGTGTACCCCCACTTGGACCACCACTTGAGACAAATTTGAAAATCTTTAGGACTTGCGACCTCATAAGAAACTTCCGGCTAGAAAATCAAAACCTTAACGGCAGTTTGCAAACAACTGAAAATATAATGCGTACATCCCGCATATACTTTCTGATACCTGACTGATACTCCATACAACCCTTAATGGTCTAGAACACCTTGACACCTAAACCAGAGGACCATAAACCCACCTGTGGCTGAACATACCCGCTTCTGAAAAGGGTTCACTGATCAACATCTGCCCAACAAACCTGATACCCAGGGACCAAGGGTTCACCGCATATACTTTATGATACCTTACTGATACTCCATACAACCCTTAATGCTCCTTTTATCTAAACAAGATAATTACCACCCGCTCAACTCCCATCAGCATGTCAACATCAAAAGCACTATAAGCATAAGAAATGAACCATCATGATCACCATGCCCATAGCCGATGACTGGAAAGCTACTAATGACACACCAACCTTATCGACACTCTCAGAGTGCCAACTGAGCACAACATAGTTGCTATCAAAGCACAACCTTACGAAAACAAAGTTGTAAACGATCCGCGGATAGGATAATGGTTGCACTCTTGATCCAAATCGAAAGATGAAACCCAAGAGAACCATGCACATAATTTGAACCAAGATCCCTAACTCCTTCTTTCCCAACTCACAAGGAGCACCCCCATACACATACTTAAGAAACCCATAATTTCATTCGAAGAGAAAAGTAACACCAGAGATAATCGAAATACCACCTTAATCAAAACAAAAAACATCCTCATGATCGGTAAAAAAAGACCCCATACTTGTTTGAGACCGAATGGATTCTATCACTACACCACTACCTCGAGAAGACATCCAAGATAATCCTACAAGTTACCAAAACCTGAGTATGCTATGAATCAGAATTCCACTTCACTATTGAGGGTAAGCATACCCAAGGAGCAAGGGAGCATAACATACTGCACTGGAGGGTAGGAGATGCATTCCTTGATCTTTAAATGTTTCCACTTGAATCCTTCAGAGAATTTCTGCTGAGTGACGAACACAACGATCAATGGTCTAGAACACCTTGACACCTAAACCAGAGGCCCACAAACCCACCTGTGGTTGAACATGCCCGCTTCTGGAAAGGGTTCACCGATCAACATCTTCCCAACAAACCTGATAGTAGTAATCCAAACAACGAACTGACAATTTCCTCAATAACTGACACTCAACCTGAGAATCCTAATTCTCCCCCACTTAGAACTCGAACCACCACCCACTAGTGGTGAAACTAAAACATAACCCAACCAGCCCAACCAAGTATAACCATACTTGACCATGTAATAAATATAATCCGTAGAATGGTCCTCTAGATACGGATAACACGAACCCCAAGAAAAACCTGAATTTCAGCTGAAAACCTCTAAATTTACAATATTAACCACTTATAGAGCATATGCAACTACCGATTTACAATACAAGCATACACCCATTTCTTGCAACCTAAAAGACAATCCGACACCTGGCTTTCCCATCTCCCAAGAGTACGACCCTTGCTCGCATCGCTAATGTACTTGTGTCATATTAAATCACTTGTGCACACCGGCACTGACATACTGTCGCCAACCAGCATGACCAACAAACCTCAAGTTGAGAATCCAACCTAACTCGGGAGGTCACAATCCTGCCCACTCCTTCGAACTCGGAAATCTGAAGGGCAGGATCCTTGCCACAGATAACAACAATCTAATCCGACAATCTGCCACTTAAATCCCATATGCAATTTCCAAACCGATCATATCAACCGCTTCCTCCCTGTATCTCGAGGCCCGAGGCACGACCTCTAGCCAAACCTCTAAGACCTCTAACCAACATACTCATTCGGGTCTGAACCACTCAACCCACATCGTCATTGCCATTGGGGCGTGAACAACACAAAACTCATCCTCACCTGAGCAACCCAATCCAAAAGATCGACAACTATGGAACCATTGCATCGAACCATGGTATCCAACCATGGAATCTTCCCCCGACCAGTCCCTAGTATCCTTAAAACCTCCCTTGATTCGAGTATGGATCCTGTGCTTCCAGTAGTACGGGCCCAATACTACCTTCCACACTTATCCATTCTTTCCTCAATAATTAT